TTTAATGACTTGGTAGTTCAGAGATCGTCTTATAAACAAACTCACATATTCACATGCTGCCAGGCTAACCCAAGGAAACCATTTTAGTTAATTAAAAGTTTAAAAGTCTGTGAATCTAACAATTTATTCAATTAAACATAGAAGTAGGAAACTGCCTTATCTCGAATCGAGAGCATTGGTCCATCTCGCTCAGTATCATCTACAGACTCTACACAGCCGGGCAGTAGCTGTCCAGAGTTTCAGGCAGGGATGCTCTCACAGCCCTACCTGGGATTGAGCCTGGGACCTTGTGCATGCAAGGAAGAAGCTCTGCTGCTGAACTAGATCCCTTCCTCAGCATGGAAGCTCTGCTCTCCATCGCTGCTTGTTGGAGTGCTCTGGCTTTGCCTCTTTCTCATCTGCCTCCACTGAGGTGGGGTAATAACCATTTTTCTCTGTTTGGGGATCATTCTGCTTCTCAATCCAAAGTCACACGGCAGAATTGCCTAGCTTCAGAGGAGGCTACTGAGTGAATCTCTACATGAGTCACTGTGCTGAGGAGACACAGTCAGAACAGTAATTCCCACAGAGATGTGGGCAGTGAATAGCCCAGTGGGCTATTCAAACTGTGTGTTGCATGCAAGCACATCTATTTAAAGTGTAAACGCAAGCAGAGACTTCCTGCAACAAAAAGCAACTTTGGGGGGGGGTGTAGTTTTCAGTGAGAAATGAGAGTGGGGAGGTGGTGCACAGCCTTTCCCTCCCCTGCCACTTTTCTGCTGTAATCTCATCCATCCCAAAACACACACACACAGTTGCTTTCATCCCACAAATATTTTTCATTACAACCACGTACAACCACATAGGAGGAAGGGAGCAGGGTGGGGAGTTCCTGGGAAAAAGCAGGGGAAAGAGATGAATAAACCCTTCCCTACTGCCTTTCCAGCAAAAATTGTTCCCTCCCAAAGCTGCTTTTTAATAACCAGCCATTGGAGATTAAAGACATGAATTTGCATACAGCACACCATTTTAAAACTGTGTGCTTCCACTCTGACAAGTTTAGGACACACTGGGCTTCATTAATTAAACTCCCACAAATCAGACATCATTAATGTCCTCTCAACAATATATGAACCCGGTTTTATGTGTGGAGGGGGGGAAACCACCTCCAAGTCTGCTAATGAAGATCTCCTTGAATGAGGTTTGGGCCATATGGATGCCATTTGGAATGAACAGTGAGAATGTACAGGTCAGCCTGCACTTTAGTGTCTGTCTATCCATCTGTTTTCACATTACTTGCAAATTATAGAATCCTCCAGACCCAAATGATCATAAATCAGTACTATGAGCATGTACACTTTCCCCATCTGTCATAAAACAATGAATTAAATTCAGGGCTGTCAAAATAATGCCGCTGCAGATTTGCCTTCTTCTGAGCAGAAGGAATACAAAGCTCCATCTCATTGCCATAATTTATGGTCTCCCTGGGAGATGTGGGCGATTAGGGTTGGCCCACCAACACACAGAAAAACAGTAGGAACTCCAATAACTCCAAATGGAAATCTTGGGTCAAATTTATCAAACCAATCAGAGAGAAATCTATTTCTGTTTGGAGAAGGAGGAGATATATTGCATGTTTAGGGTACGAGGAGAGCTTTGGAACATTTGGCTATTCGGTATTTGTGAGTTTTGGAATTCCTAGCTTAAATAGTATCACCAAAGGGCCATGTGATGTATTAGACATGGGCACCTTTTTTAGCCAAATAAAATATACAACTGCAAGCAAAGAGGTTTTTCAATGTTAACAACAACATATTTGTGCAAATGATGTAACTGAAAATTTTCTAGGTAGGACTTTAAAAAAGCAGAGCTCCAGTACTGGAAAAATATACCGGCTGAAAAATGAAATGTTAGAAAGGGCTCAAAACCCAAAATATATTGTAGGGCAAACATGGTGAACAGACTTCACAAACAAAGGGAATGTATAGCACCCTTTAAAATGGGGTGCATGGCTTGGAACAAATTAAAATGCTGCTGCTTCTTTTAACATTAAATAGCAAAACATGCTAACATTGGTTCATACCAAAAATAAAAGTTTGCATTTGAAAGTTCCACAGTGTTTAATTCTGACTATGTAGTAGGTTTTAAAACTTTTTTTCTACCAAGAAAGCCCTGTCTTCTACGGAACTCCTTTGTTTTAAGGCCATGTGGCCACTTCAGACGCACTATTTGCCAACCTCCAATATCCAATTTATCACAGCCTTCTGAAGTTAGGCAGGTAGTGACAGGGGACAGGCACTTCTCTCTGGCCAGCTCCTCCATCTTGAATTCCTTCTCCAGCAAAGCTTGCCTGGGACCAGGCATTTCAGAATTTTATCTAGTTGTGTTTTTAAAAAACACACAAAAATATCTGAGAATATTTGACAATAATGGTTCTGGGAAATTCTAGCTCAGCTTTAGGAAATAAGCATTACAGTATAGGCTGGATCTAGAGGAAGTTAGTAAACGGTGCTGAGACTTAATGGTGGTTTCAGTGGAGTTAAGGGTTTTTAACTTCATTTAGATCCAGCCCAAATTGTTTGAGCCTGAACTGTAACTAGGAAGAATTTTGTCAAACATTTAATTTTATTGAATTGATTTGGCCTTTGAATGGGGCAAGTGAAAATAAAGATAAAACAAGTAGATGTAGTGCAATGAACTAGAGATATTTTATTAGCCTGTCAAGCTTTTTATGGGTGTTTGAAACTAGGGGTAGTCAAATGAACATCCCTTGTGCATCATGGTGACGAGTGGGGAGGGGGTCACTCCAGCCTTCGTCTATCCCTAGTGTCAGTGGGGCTGGGCCTGCTTAGCTGGAGTGCCCCACTCTCCCCCTGCCACCCAGTAATGCTCCTCACCAGCCACGGATGGCTCTGAGACATCCAGCCTGACTTGAGGGGTCCACAGTGGTCTATGCATCATTATAAATTACATATTATTACAAATTACCTTAAACCCTTGATTTTGGTATCTTAAGATCAGTTTGTACCACCATAGGCTTCTCTTGGACTTTTCCACTTCACCTTGCAAGGGATGAAGGCTGCACGTCTGAATGTTTCACCAAATCATTCTCTGCATATAGAAAACTATCTTGTCAGTGCTAAGTTTTGGCTAGTATTTCCTTTGCATGCTAATTTCCATGTGCATAAGGGTTTATTACCCACCCCCTCTCAGAATCATTCAAATATTCAACCCCATCAACTGCAGGCTGGTGTGGTATCCTCCAGGGAAAACAACCACCTAATTCTGTTCCTTGTATAATCCGCCCCTTCATTTGTATTGGGTTTGTTAGGGAAGAACACTTCTTAGAGCAACTGGGCTGGCTCAAAAAAATTTTTGCCAATACAAATGGCTAAAGCATGAGAAGTGTGTCACAGCTTTCTCTATGTTAGTTGCTGGAGATGCATCTCCTCAAGCTAAATGAATATTATCTAAGCATAATTGCAAAAGCCTGATTCTCATTGAGGTAGTAAATGGGGGGGGGCTGTAATTGCTAATATACGCTCACATGATTGGATGTTGCTCTGGGGGGAGGGAATCACCACACATTGCAAGCCAGCAAATCAAGGAGTTCTAGCCCAGCCTCTCTGGCATGCTACTTTTCTATGTGCAGGGATATTTGTTAATCTTTATCAATTTATTTATCTGACAGTGGAGGATAACATCAGCTTTGAATTTCAGTCTGAAGTGGTTGAGTCTGAACCCAGCTTTGGAACTGGGCCTGGTCCCCTTCTCACTTCAGGCCTGGATGCACCGAGACCTGAAGCAGCAGCAGGCCTCCGCCCTCGTCCCGTCTGCATATGGAGCTGCCCAGAGTGGCTGGGAAACCCAGCCAGATGGACGGGGTATAAATAATGAAATTGTTGTTGTTGTTGTTGTTATTATATAATATAATATTTACAGGGCTCTGGAAAGAACAAGTGTTTTGACCTAAATGTTATACTATTCAAAAATGCATCAATACTATATAAGTGTAGAATTCAATGTTTCCCTCTTCTGATTGTTAAATTAGTGCAAGCATTTTTGCTTGCTAGATGGCATGGACCCCCATCTCTTTCTCCTGTGTGCTGCTCTGGGGACACACCTGATCCTGTAGAGGGGAGTGGGGGGGGGGTTGCACACAACTACTCAAAGTAGATCCAATAAAAAATAGACCTAAGTTAATTCTGCTCATTAATTTCAATAGTTCTGCTCTGAATTAGGGCTGCCACCTTTGGTCGGGCAAAATATGAGACAGGTCAGGGGGGAATGGGGGGCTAAAATTACCTCAAAGTAATCTGTTACTCTCTTGCATGCTCTGACTCCAAGTCTCCATCTCTGATCCACCCATCTCTGCCCAAGTAAAAACTCTTTCCCACTCCACCCCCCCACCCCCACCCCCATTCTCCACTAGGTCCATGCAAACCTCTCGCTCTCCAAGCCCCACCTAGGCCCCTCTGCCTACGCAAAACCTGAGACTCCACAGTGGCAGTCCTGTGCGCTGCCGCCCCACTCTCTCAATCTCTGTGACCCACTCTCTGACCTCGCAAAAACTCTCTCTTTCAAACTCCTCCTCCTGCCTCCTGCCATACCTCTCGCTCTCACTCTTGGCCCTCCTCTGCCTGCACAAGCTCCTGCTCAAGTTCTCGCTCTCTTCCTCCCACCGGGCTCAGCCTGCATACTTTTGAGGATGAAGATGAGCTTGAGTATATGCAAAAAGCCAACCTGTTTGAAGTCTAAACAGGATAGGGGATACTTTTCTCCAAAAATGGATGATCACACTTTTTCTAGGGATGGGTGGCAACCCTACAGGTTACAACCCTATATATTATTACCAAGATATGTCAAAAATCAACAAGAATTAATCGTCTTCTTTTCCTAAACCAATCCTGATTCATAAGATAAAGTATCCTTTAGCGTTTCATTGCCACTTTGCTGAAAGGTTTGTGTAACCATGTGAACAGAAACTAAATACTTCCATCCTAACAAGAACAAAGAAAAGTAGACTTCCGGGGTGGCGCCTCCGGAAAATGGCGGAATTCCCTTCGAACTGAAGGGAACCCGCTGCACGGAGGCTTGGGTCCTGCCGCTACGGCGCAGCGGGGACCCTTAAAAACCACAGGCGGAAGAAGCCTGTGGGCGTGGGACTCGGCGGGCACCGAGAGCGCTCTCTCCCTTGTACAGGAGCCCGGTAACGGGCTCCGGAGTGGGAGGTGCGTGGTGCTGTGAGTCGTCTGCTTCCTCCGTGCAGCAAAGCCGCACTGCCGTTATCGGAGAGCGCTGCCTTTTTCCTGGACAATTTGGCATCTAAAACATCTATCCGTGAGTACCTGATCCTGGAAGAGCTGAACTACTTTTAAGATTGGTGAATAAATAAATAACATTGGACTTGAACTTGAAATTGAATTTAATTGGGACTCGGAACGGAAAGGTCTAAACAGGAAGTCGCCTTCCGTTCTTTTGTTACGTGAAGAAAGCAAAGACAAATTATACTAAAGCCTGAAAACTAAATTCTGAGAGAACTAAAATTCAACATCTAAGATTTCTGAACCCCCTTTGATTGCAGGAGAAGAAGGGGGTTGTTTTGATCTTTTCAACCCTGCGGAAGTGAGTTTAAAATAAAGTAATTTTCCACCGCCCTGAACCAGGAGCGGGCTGTCAGAACTGACGTTTTGAAGCTTATCCAGCTCGACAGATAGTTAAAAGATGGGTAACATTTTGATTCTACTGTTGCCTCTTGAATTTGAAAGGGGGACTTTTGGATAAAGTGTATCTGGAAAAAGAAAGATTGTTACTGTTGTTTTTCCCCCTCTTAAAAAAAAAAAAATAACAAAAAGGGTTTTCCATCTAGTGGAACTGAGTGAAATTGCAATGCAGAGAGTTTAAAAGAGAAGGACCATTCTCGTGGGAAAGAATTTTTTCTGACCTTGAAGGACAATGCTTGTACAAAGGCTTGAACAAGTGTTCCTGGAAGGTTTTGCAAAATTAAGTGCCCAGCTGGACCAGATGCGTCAGGAGTCGACCTTGATGATGACGGAAGTCACCAGAGCACAGCAGCAAACAAATGAAATTCAGTTAAAGTCTATACAAGTATATGAACCTGCTGTAGCGACGGAGGCTTCAGAGATGGAGGGACCTATGGATGGGCAAGATCAGCCTTTGAACTTGATAAATGAACTTGGGACAAACCTGATTCGGAAAGATGAAATGTGGTCAGATTTGGAAATGGGGGATGGATTGACACCCCTCTATATGGTTATTTGGACTTTCCGAGTCTAGGGATGGGCCATCAGAGGATTGGAGTAGTCGAAGTCTCCAAGTTTTCTGGAAATTGGAAGTGGTATTATCTGCTGTCTGGCTTGGGTAATGGGTTTGGGATGGACTTGCTGCAAAGAGTCAAAAGCATCTTCTTGCTGGAGTATCCACGACTGAAAGGGAAATATCAACAAGAGTGGCGAAAGGGGCAAGAAAGAGACTTGAGGGCCTCGGACACGAGACAACCAGGTTAAGGAGCCGGATTATTGAGGTTAAAAGGACTGACAATCCCGGGTCCAGGGGAGGGAGGCTGGAAGTTGACTGGACTGAATCTGACTGATTATTCTTTCTTTTTTATTTTTTAATATTGGGAATGTTTATAAATGTTTGAAGGATGTTGAATGAAATTATATGACTTAAGTAAGGATTGGTAAATGATTTGTAAAAAGGTAATGATGTAAGAATTTGCTAAATATGGAATATAAGCTTTGAGTTTTAAAGTTTTTATATGACAAGAGGGAAAATAGAACAAGGAAACGCAATGATAGATTGTTATGAAAAAACAGAAAGGATTTGCTGTAAAAATTAAATACTAAGAAACAAGAGAGGGGAGGAGGAGGAAGTCTAGAAAGGAAGTTAATGGAGATCGTAAAGGATTTTATATTTCTGTTTTTCTGTTTTTCTTTTTTTCTTTTTTGCGGCTGGGTTTTTTCTTCTTTATTATTTCTGTATTATTTTTGTTTGTTTGTTTGTTTTGTATTTTCAAACTTTTTTGGAAATTTTTGTTGTTACTTGTTACTTTTTGAAAATTTAATAAATATCAATTTAAAAAAAAAAAAGAACAAAGAAAAGTAGTAAAAGCCTATAGAGATGTATGTATCACACATGTGCACGCACACACACATAAACTGTAGTATTCTTGATCACTGAAACATTGAATGTTCTTGCTTACTACAGCCTCAGAGAAGCTGCTAATTATGGATGCTGCTGCAGTGTGTTACTTTCCCTTCATCAAGTAAGAAAGAAAATAACTGAAATGTGCTTATTCAGTCCAAAATTTCAAACCTTTTCCATTAGAAGCTAATTTTATCCTAGCTAGAACAAGTTTCAGGGACGTGGGTGGCGCTGTGGGTAAAAACCCAGTGCCTAGGACTTGCCGATCGTATGGTCGGCAGTTCGAATCCCCGCAGCGGGGTGAGCTCCCGTCTTTCGGTCCCAGCTCCTGCCCACCTAGCAGTTCGAAAGCACCCCTAAGTGCAAGTAGATAAATAGGTACCGCTTTATAGCGGGAAGGAAAACGGCGTTTCCGTGTGCTGCGCTGGTGCTGGCTTGCCAGAGCAGCTTCGTCACGCTGGCCACGTGACCTGGAAGTGTCTTCGGACAGCGCTGGCTCCCGGCCTCTTAAGTGAGATGAGCGCACAACCCTAGAGTCGGACACGACTGGCCCGTACGGGCAGGGGTACCTTTACCTTTACCTTTAGAACAAGATTCCTATAACATTCAATGATTAGTTGTTCCCAATTGGGATAATATTTCTCAGTTCTCACATCTTACATTACTGTCTGGGAGTTATATTTGCAGATATTAGAGCTGCCAAGCAAGTTGGGGTGGAATCTGCCTCACACATGCACTTTGGAAAATCTCTTGCATCGGGGAAAAGGCATAGAATTAATCATAAGTTATTAACTGATATTTAAAAAGAGGTGGTTTTGCTCTGCCAAATTTAGAATTGTATTATGAAGCTGCATGCCTTTCTTGGATCAAAGAATGGATAATCATGAAAAATACAGATCTGCTAGATTTAGAGGGTTTCAACAACCGATTTGGGTGGCATGCCTACCTATGTTATGGAAAGGCGAGAGTACAAAAAATTTTTAAATTTTATTCTGGGCTTCTTGCGCTGCCAGACAAATCTAGAAATATCTTTCTGCCACCTCTTGAAACAATCCATTCTGTCCAGGATATTCTGGAACAAAAAGTACCCTGGTCGTTGTCGCCATCGGAGGCCATGACAACTAAAAAAAATAAATGTGGATCATGACTGGGGAACCTGTAAAGATTTACAAATTGAAGAAGATAATCAATTAAAATTTAATAATTTTAAGGAAATCATAGAATCATAGAATCATAGAGTTGGAAGAGACCACAAGGGCCATCGAGTCCAACCCCCTGCCAAGCAGGAAACACCATCAGAGCACTCCTGACATATGGTTGTCAAGCCTCTGCTTAAAGACCTCCAAAGAAGGAGACTCCACCACACTCCTTGGCAGCAAATTCCACTGTCGAACAGCTCTTACTGTCAGGACGTTCTTCCTAATGTTTAGGTGGAATCTTCTTTCTTGTAGTTTGGATCCATTGCTCCGTGTCCGCTTCTCTGGAGCAGCAGAAAACAACCTTTCTCCCTCCTCTATGTGACATCCTTTTATATATTTGAACATGGCTATCATATCACCCCTTAACCTCCTCTTCTCCAGGCTAAACATGCCCAGCTCCCTTAGCCATTCCTCATAAGGCATCGTTTCCAGGCCTTGGACCACTTTGGTTGCCCTCCTCTGGACACATTCCAGTTTGTCAGTGTCCTTCTTGAACTGTGGTGCCCAGAACTGGACACAGTACTCCAGGTGAGGTCTGACCAGAGCAGAATACAGTGGCACTATTACTTCCCTTGATCTTGATGCTATACTCCTATTGATGCAGCCCAGAATTGCATTGGCTTTTTTAGCTGCCGCGTCACACTGTTGGCTCATGTCAAGTTTGTGGTCAACCAAGACTCCTAGATCCTTTTCACATGTACTGCTCTCAAGCCAGGTGTCACCCAGAGGCAGATTGACAGGCTGGATACAATACCACCAACTACATGAGGTTTTTAGGCAAGATAAAAAGAAAGGCTTTGCAACAGAGTTTTCAAGATTTGAAAAGGAGGTGATCTATAAAGAGGTGAAAACGCTTTCCAGAATGCACAAAATTCTGTTAGACTGGTCAGTAAAAGAAGAGGAGGTTAAGTCAGTTATGGTAAAATGGGCTATGGATATAGGCCATAACATTCAACTTTCAGCATGGAAAAGACTGTGGAAGGAAGATCTCAAATTCACAGCATGCTATACCCTTAAAGAAAATTGTATGAAGGTCTTTTCTGCTAGTATTTAACACCTAGTAAACTGGTATTTAACACCTAATACAATTCAGATTTTATTGGTGCTGGAAATGTAACGAAGCAGTAGGAACAATGTATCATGCATGGTGGAGATGTAAAAAAAAAAGGATAGAATTCTGGGATACAATCTATAACGAGTTAAAAAAGATGTTTAAATTATCATTTTCCAAAAAGCCAGAAGCTTTCCTTTTAGGAATCATTGGGGATGAGATCCCCGAAGATTTGAAGAAATTATTCATGCATGCCTCCACGGCAGCGAAAGTATTGGTAGCAGAAAACTGGGAAGGAGACCAAATTCCCATGAAGAGGGACTGGCAAGGGAAGCTGATGGAACACATGGAGATGGACAAGCTGACAGGGTGGTTAAGAGACCAAGAGTACCAAAAATGTAACAACAGTTGGAGTAATTGTAAAAAATATCTGAAAGATTACTGCGGTGATTTAAAAATCTTGACTGGGCTAGAATGTCTCTTGTAAAGACGACTAGTAGAAACTGTGGGAAAGATGGTAAACAGAAGAGTAGCTATAATTGGAAAGGCATACAACATAGAATTCTATGGACCCAAGTAAGAGGTGGAAGGAAGTAAAAACACAACAAGTAGATAAGTAACATAATTTTTATTTTCCTTTTTTTGTTTACACATACATGTTCAATGGTGTAATGTTGAGAGGTCTGAAATATTTATTGTAAATGTTGACGTGTGTGAAAAGGATGGCTGTAAATCAATTGAAAAACCAATAAATGTTTTTTTTTTTTAAAGGAAAATCTCTTGCATCACATGTCACTTGGTCTTTATGATGTCTGTGTGTCCTGATTATTTCTCTCCTGGCTGGGAAGAAGTTTCTGGAACACCTCCTCACACAGAAAGGGACACCGAGGCTCCTTTGCGCCCTTGGCAAGGAGGGAGTGCAGATGGGGGGGCAGGTTCCTAGCCACGCTGAGTCAGAGTGCAAAGATGCAATTTTTTCACACCTTCTGGCCAGCCCCTATGTCCGCCCCTGCTCACATATTCAGACAAATGCTGGCTTGTTCATTGACTAACAACCCAGCATGTGTGCTGTTGCATCTTCTAGGGTTGGGTGGAGCAGGATTCAGGATTTTCAGTGTCTATGGAATAGTAGCTTGCAGTGCAATCTTATGCTTCTCTTCTCTCTGGTGGACTTACTTCCAGGTGTGGGTAGTACTGCAGCCTCGCCCTTGGAAGAGCCCAATATATTGCCTGCAGCTGCAGGGGAGTTCTGGTTTGGTTCTCGTGCGTAGGTTGAGCACAACAAGGCTGACTGCTGAAACTCCTTGCAAACTTGATGGGTGCCCTAGCCTAGAACATTTCCCAGAATCCTTTGCATCATGCAAAAGTTCCCCAGCAAGTACAGTATGCTAGTGTGGAAAGGGATCCATTAAGGCAGAAAATTTGAAAACCACGGTTTTAGAGAATCTTAGTTTAACTTCTACAAGTTCATTTCTCGTGGGTGTTTGCCAAATACTTTTGATATTTTCCTTCTTTATGTTTTTTGCACAACAAAACTCCCTTGTAAGTGAATGTCGGGGCTCATATCATTTTCTGCTCCAGTCATGCAATTCAGGCATACAAACTCATTCCAGGTTTTGTGTTCAGTTCATTTTTCATATTCCGCTTCTCTAACTTGTTTATGTTAGCTTAGCCTTCATCAAAATGATGTCTTAATTAAATCTGAAAAATGGACATTTGACTTTACTTTAAGCGATGATTTCAGTCTGCCATTGATATAAAAGTTAGATATATAGAACAGACATGTGCATTGTATATGACTTGCTCCTGGAATTTTTTTTTCTTAATCATCATTGCTTTTCTTTAAAAACAACATTTTCATCATGTTTTAAACAATCTTTCAATTTGGCTTGATGCAATATTGTTGCATACATGCTTTCTGACTTTACTAAGGATGTGAGAACATTCCTATGAAATTCTGTTCTCCAGCAAACGGGGTCATGATCTCATATGCTGAACTCTTGAGTACGTAATTAATATGATGGGTGTGATCCAATCTATACCTTCCATATAGCAGTGCATATCTGCAGCTTTGCCCAGCCACACTCTGCTCAGGCATGGGATGAGGGGGGCATTGGTACAAGAAATCCCCTCAAAGGTAGTGCTGCACACAGGAGGCTATAGAATATGTCAGGAGTGCTCTGATGGTGTTTCCTGCTTGGCAGGGGGTTGGACTCGATGGCCCTTGTGGTCTCTTCCAACTCTATGATTCTATGAATAGTCTGTGTTGGGCCTTGTATTAAATCCTAACAGCATTCCATCTGGTTAGAGAGCAAACTGAAGAAGGGGCTGGTTCGATTTCCATTTAACTATGTATCAATCTGGTGAGATATTTAGCTTTATTGTGATATTAATTATAATGGAGAAATCCAACAAATGCAAGGAGCTGGTGTGCTGTAGTGGAAGAGACAGAGCTGTGAATCAGGAAGTCTCTAGTTCAGATCTTGCCCCTGCCTGAACCCCCAAGGCAGCCTCAAGCAATCTACCATCCTTTCAGTCACTCCAAGATATCATAATGCCAACCCACCTTACAGGGTGGGTGTGAATATAGCAAGATCATGTATGCAAAACATTGCAAGTCCCCTAAACTGCTATAACCATGGTGGCACCCAGTTTATGGAATGTCCTTTCTAAGAGACAGCT